ACTATAGTAGTCCTGAAGACACTATTAAATAAAAAAAATATTATACATCCTTAAAATGTGTCTAAAAGATGCTATCAAAAGAGAATATTCAATCTCTTTTAATTTATTATTTTTTTTCTCACCAGAAGTGAGAAATATCAATATTTCATTGACGTAATATATTTTGTCATTATTATGCAATCATGTTTTTCATATTATGAATTTGATAGAATATTTGTATTTTTATGATTGTGAAATTTATTTAAATACAATTGATTTTAAAGACAAAATAAAAAAAATTATAAAAATATTTTTATAATGGTCTAGAAAACATTGTCAAATAAAGACATTTTAATATTTTTTTTCTCACCGGAAGTGAGAAAATGATGAAAAAATGAAAATGAAAGAATAAGTTTTCTCACTAGAAGTGAGAATATGATATGAAAAGTGAAAAATAAAATAAATTTCACCAGAAGTGAAAAAAATTGATATAAATATATTAAATTGAGTTTGATCCTTTGATATAAATGAGACTACCACCAGAAGTGAAATAATTTTTTCAATATTATAATGTTGAATGATATTTGAGACACTTATAAATATTATGACTAATGAAGCGTGTCCTTAAGTCTACTTAGGTTTTGAGTGATTTCTTGAAAGGATTATGAGTTTTCCTACATTTGTAATTTGATATTGTTCATGATTAAATTAATTGAAATAATCAACTTGTCATGTAATTGAACTTGTGTTGAATCATTGAATCTTAAAAAGAGTTTAATTTCAAATCCTATTGATAGAATTGATATTATTTGTTTTCATAATGTTATAATTTGATATCGATTTCATTATTTTTAGCATTATTTTAATTGATCTTAAAAATAATGCGTCTATTATTTTAATTGATGAAGATATCATTACGTTATAATTTGATTGTGATTTGTATAAAAATACTAGAATTTAATGAAATTATGACAAATGTTTATTTCCTTATTTTTTATACAACATTTATAAGAAAAATAATTTCTCTAATTTTGAGCATTATTTTTTTTTCTCCTTAAAGTCAACCTAACAATGACATAAATATATTTTTATTAGATGATTTTTTTTAAGTATAATGAGAAAAACTCACTTGTTTTTTTTATAAAGAAATATCTTTAGTTGGTTTATTGTCACTTGAAGACTAAAATAAAATATTGAGATTCTTTTTTATGCAAGAGACCATTTTAACTAGCATTATTTCATTCCCTGAAGTGAATTTTCTAATGCAAATTTTTATCTTCTCATACTCAATAATGTGAGAAATTAATGTTATATCATACTACAAATATAATTGAAGGCTCCGAAAGAGCTAATATATTATTACTGAAAGAAACGAAGTTGCATATTAAAAAGGAAGTATTGGAAAAATTACATGTTTTCTCTTATGGACTGTATTGCACGTATGTTAATACAGTTGAAACAAATACTATTGTAAACCAGAAGTTTACAAATCAAAATAAATTTGAGGTTTGGCATGATCGATTGGGTCACCCTGTGACTATCATGATGCGAAAAATAATTGAAAATTCATGCGGAAATTTATTGAAGAGCTAGGAGATTCTTCAATCAAATATTTTCTCATGTACTGCTTGTTCCCAAAGGAAGTTAATAATTAGACCATCACCAGCAAAAATTAGGAATGAATCTATCTTATTTTTAGAAAGGATACAAGGTGATATTTGTAGACCAATACACCCCCCATGTGGACCATTTAGATATTCTATGGTTTTAATTGATGCATCAACAAGATAGTCTCATGTTTGTTTATTATCAACTCGCAACCAGGCGTTTGGGAGATTATTAGCTCAAATAATTAGATTAAGAGCTCATTTTCCTGACTATCCAATTAAGAAAATTTGTTTGGATAATGCTGGTGAATTCACATCTCATGCTTTTAATGAGTATTGTATGTCCATTGGAATTGATATTGAACATCTAGTAGCACATGTTCATACACAAAATGGACTTGCAGAATCATTTATCAAACGTTTAAAACTAATTGCAAGACCATTACTTATGAGATAAACTAATTGCAAGACCATTACTCATGAGATCAAAACTTCCTATGTCAACTTGGGGCATGCAATCTTACATGCCGCAATATTAATTCGCATCAGGCCAACAAGTTATCACAAATTCTCTCATTTATAGTTGGTTTTTAGTGAGCAACCCAATATTTCTCATTTGAGAATCTTTGGATGTGTTGTATATGTTTTAATTGCCCCCTTTCAAAGAACCAAAATGGGTCCTCAAAGAAGGTTGGGAATATAAGTTGGGTATGGATCTCCATCTATAATAAAACATCTTGAACCATTAACAGGAGATTTATTTACAGCTAGGTTTGCTGATTGCCATTTTAATGAGTTGATTTTCCCAACATTAGGGGGAGAACAAAAACAGCTAGAAAAAGATATTAGTTGGAATGAATTATCACTTCTCATCTTGATCCTCATACAAAATAATGTGAACTAGAAGTTCAAAAGATAATTCATTTGTAAAATCTAGCCAACCAATTACCAAATGTATTCACAGATCCAAAAAGGTTGACTAAGTCATATGTATTAACGGCTAATGCTCCAATAAGAGTCGAAGTCCCTATTAGACAATTTAATACTACAAACGAGTCACAAATACACCTGAAGCGTGGTAGACCAATTGGTTCCATAGATAAGAATCCTCGAATAAAATGTAGTTTAGCGGAAAACACACAAAAGGGGGGTTGAATGTGTGTGAACGAAGGATTTTTAAAACGTTTTTGCAAAGGGGCTTCTTTCTATCTAAAAATAATATTTTAAGCACTTAGAGACTGTGCAAGATTGGTTAAGAGAAACTCTACGTCTGAAGATCTATCGTCTACTTGAAAATAATTTCTTAAGTCAAGTAAATATAATTTTGTCTAAATATCGTTTAGAAAATAAGTAGTAGACGAAGTTTTTTAGTGTGATATATCAATATAAATAAAACTGTGTTTGTAAAACAAAATGACAATGCAAAGAGTTTTATACTGGTTCACTCGTCCTGAGCTACGTCTGAGGTTAGCGGAAAAACACATAGAAGGGGGGGTTGAATATGTGTGTGTGTGAACAAAGGTATTTTAAAACATTTTCGCAAGAGTAGTGCTCTTCGTCTACTGCACTTTTGAATATCATACTTTTATGCAGAGTTTGCTTAACATACGATCAATGCATCTGAAGGGTTTATCGTCCACTAGGAAAAATGTTTCGTAAAAATATTAATTGAAGTTCTTACATTTTCTTTTTCAAGATAGTTTCGTTTAAGGATAAGTAGTAGATGAAACTTTCAGTGTAATAAGTTTGTCAAGCAAAGTTAGCATCTTTGTCTAAAAGTTGTTTTAAAGATATATAAACACCGGACGAAGTTTTACACAAATATTTAATCAGTAAGGAAGATTTGCGCTTAAGTAAATAAAAGGATGCAATCATTTTATACTGGTTCGCTCAACAAAGCTACGTCCAGTCTCCTTCAACTTGAAGGGTTCCACTAGATATAAAATAAAGAACATTGAGCATTATCGTCCACTCCTGGACCTGAGTATTCTCGACTACTCCTGGCCTTGAGTATTCTCGACCACTCCTGGCCTTGAGTATTCTTGACCACTCCTGGCTCGTCAGCTTCACTCACCAACGCTAGTATTCTTAAACCACTTTTGGTTCTCTAAGTATTCTCGACCACTCCTGGCCCGTCGGCTTCACTCACCAACGCTACTATTCTTAAACCACTTCTGGTTCTCCAAGTATTCTCGATCACTCCTGGCCCGTCGAATTCACTCACCAACGCTAGTATTCTTAAACTACTTCTGGTTCTCCAAGTATTCTCGACCACTCCTGGCCCGTCAGCTTCACTCACCAACGCTAATATATTTTTCTCAGCCACTTCTAGCTAGCAGTGAGTATTCTTTGACAAACCCCTCTGGGCTTTACAAGTATTCTTTTCCTAGCCTCTTCAGGCTTTACAATGTTGGCTAGACAGTTTTGGTTGAGTGCATACATAACTCTCATAGAGAGGATTGGAAATTTCCTACACTTACTAAGGTTTTCTACCTTACTTTTATAGAGACTTGTGTTTGAGTGTTTGGGTTACTCTCATGGAGAGGATACATAGGTTTACAACACTCACGAAGGTTTAGTCCATCATTGAAATTTCGAACACCTTAGTCTACAGAGATAAAAATACAACATTACATTGTACATATGACTATGTATGCTCGTCTCTGGTCTCTGATTTTTATGGGCTGAACATAGCTCTTCTTTATGCTTGAACCATTTTTGGTCAAAAATAGCCAACGTCTAAGGTTTGAAGTTGAGGTTTATATAGTCTTGTGATTTCTGCCCGTTGCAACTTCCTGTTGAAGCAAATATAGTCGTTCGTGACTAGTTTAATCTTCGCATTTAATGCTTTGATTCTTGCATTAAATGTGGCTTCCTGTTCATAGACAATGCATGAAGTTATCTTGCTCAGTTAGTAGTTGTATCTGAATGTAGCAAAGTCCTAGGAAACTTCTGTCCTTTTCTGACCCTATAGCTGTGGAGCTTTTGTCCTTACCAGAAAAAGTGATGTACTTTTTTTGACATATGCATGATTTAACGTTTGATCATGTTCTTCTTCTTTCTTCTTTTCTTCTAATAATTCAAATGAATTCGTGTGTTCTTCTGTGAGTGTAGACGATATTCAAATTTTATTTTGAATCATGATTTCTTAGGAGA